TCCTAACTTCATCTAAACATTTTTTGTGGAGATCGTTTAGCAAAAGAACGTATGAACGTATTTTAGAGAGCTCAAGCGTGTACCAGTGCTTATCTTTGAAAGAGTTAGGCTTAATTTTATTTGACAAATTGAGAGACTGTCTAGGCTTATAACTTCTAGATGGGAACACACTATCGAACAGTTCCTTGAAAATTTCAAAAAAGTTTGAAAACCTCTGATCAGGGTTTAGAGATGTGTCAGGTAAATTCCAGTTTGAGAGACATTTCAGCTTTTGGTTCAAGACACCTAGGTTACTTTCGTCAATTTTACGCTTTACGAATATATATTTATCCTGCCATGAGATAGGCATTGGTCCTGTACTCACCAGATCCGCCACAATCATTAGGGAGACTGCTCCGTGGTCAGCAACAACAGGTTCAGTGACTTTCACTGCATATTCCCAGGAGTTAAGGTTTGTCACTATTGTGTCCAGGCATGCCATGTTTCTGGTAGGTTCTCTTGATGTAATGTACAACCCATAGCTTCTTAAAATATTAGTAAATGAGGCCTCCTCTTTTGATGGGAACTCAAGATGGATGTTGAAGTCGCCAGCAAGAAAGACATTTTTACAGTTGAGCCTAGTAATATAGTTCAGACACAAGTCAAGTTGGTGGAAGAAATTTGATAGGTCACCAGTTGGGGATCTGTAGACCGATACCACTATTGAAGATAAGTCTAATAGCTGCACTGCAGCAAGTTCCAGGTCCATCTCAACACTAAATTCATCAAGGTCAATAGGTTTAAAATTCAGACCATTGCGGACAAAGATTGCAGAGCCCCCGTTTCTGTGACATGAGCGGTAAAATGCACTTCCAAGGTGAAGATTGTCGATACTAAGAAAGAGGTCTGCTTCCTCTTTAGTTAACCAATGTTCGCAAACACCCAAAATATCACAACCAATTTCTCTGGCAAAGAGTGAAACCAGACTAGATTTATTTCTAAGACACTGTACATTTAGGGAGGAAATTATTAGCCCAGCATTATTAGTACCCGTTACTTCCGCTTTTTGTTTTATACTGTTAGGCCTAGTACAATTAGGCAGAGAGCCAGTGGGCGGATGTTCAGAGGTAGACTCAGGCTGGTTGTTAATTATAGTTGGTGTAGGCCTAGGCCTATCATTACTAGACTTAGTTGAATGTGTATTATTTACAATGTACAGATAAGAAATTGTCTTCAGGGCCTATGTTACAAGGCTGGCCGGGGCTCTCCTGAATAAAAAACGTTTAAGTATAGCATTTTTTGGCCAGGAGGCACTTTGGAACAGTTCATCTTTTCGATCAAAATCTACACCTATCTTAAAGCTAGCGTTAGGTCCTTTTGACTCTAGTTTTTCAACAACAGGAGAGATGCCTGTAAATTTTGAAGTAACAAATTGCTTCACTGTCTCTACAGAAGTACTATTGTTTAGCCTACCCAAGTAAAACCAAGCTTTTTTATTACCTGATAGAGTTTTATCCTCACAAGTTCCAACAATTACAGGGACAGAGTTTAGGTTAGGTCTGGATCTAGGGTTAAGTTTCCCTTTCACTGTAGTACCACTCTTTTGTTGAGGTTTAGCCTTCTGCTGGTGTGAAGATGAAGAATTTGACACCTGGTCGTGATCACGATCTTGCTTTGAGCCACAGCCTTCGCGATCAGAGACTCTAGCAGTATTGGGAGCAGAGTTAGTGCTATGTGAAAGGCCTAGCCCTTTTCGGCGGTACTTATTTCGCTGAACTTTCCATCCATTGTCATGTGAGAGGTTTGGGAAATTTTCTTTGTTTAGCAAAAGTATCTCATCAGCCTGGGTAGGGTGTGAATCTATGGCAGTTGTATTATTTCCAGAGGTTCCAGGACTAGAGAATAGGCCTAGGTCAGGGGTTTCAATTTCATTTTCAATCATCTTCGATACATTAAGTGACTCCTGGGACTTCTGAGTACAATTTACTGATGGTTTCACTGGAGATTTATCCTTATTTTGCTGTCCTAAATGGACTATGTCACCGATAATATCAGCATGTGAGTGTAGCATCGATTTGATTGTCGTTTGCTCAGAACCCAGAGCATTCACATTTTCAGACATGGTTTTATAGTTAGCAGATAGATTAGAAATTTCGTCAGTTATTATTTTTATATAACTAAAACATTCACAGCAGAGAGGTTTCTCGTTGTCTTCAATTTTGTTGTCATGAATTACTGAAGGAGACGTTTTCACAGAGTCAAGCCATGAGATACAGTCCGGGCAAAGCCACACGAAAATGTCATTAATTGACTTGAAATTGTTGTAATCCATTTCAGAGATTTGAGAACAACTAATATGAAAAGACTTTTGACACTTTCCAAAACACTTTATCGCTTTACTACGCGTATTTAACTTTATATTACAAGAGCCACAATTATTAGGTGCGTCACCGGGCGCCATCTTGCTACTTTATCAGCAAGACAATGCAATACAGGGCCAAGGGCCAACTGTTCAACTGAACCATTGAGCATTGAGTGTCGAGTGAGTAGGCCTACACTGAACTAACCAACATTCAATACTGACTCACCCAGCGAGACCACGGAAAAAATATTATATTTAATTATCTGTGGTCGCTGGGCTCACTTGACAGCAGTAAACAGATGTTTCACGGGAAAATCATGCTGGTGGGGGTAGTTACTGGGCCGAGCAACTCGGTTTTCAACTAAAGTACTGGACTTGCTCTCAACTGACCTCTTTTTACCAACTCGCTCACTTCTGGACTTGCCTGCATGTCTACAACAAGCGAGTTAGAGAGCGAGTGGGAACTCGCATACTGACTCGCCCGCCGTTCTCAACCCGTGTAAACCAGGCTTATGAGCAGCTGAACAAATCACCACTGAGTGTGGGAATGTTCCTTCTAACCAGAAGGTTCCTGTCAGTGTACTTCCTGTTTCTTTTAGCAGATTTCCCATATAGGGAATAAGCTAAATACAGGTCTTATAGTAAGACCTGGGAACAGTTTATTCTTCCATTTTGATGTCCTCAGAGGCCAAAAACACAATTATTGGTTTAAACTCATATACATGTTTGTGTCTGTTGGCAACATCATCTGTCTCAAGCAGAAATCATCAGATTTTGATGAGTTGTGAGATTTGTATATCTTTTTTAAGCTTAATTATTTACAGTAGGCTACTATTATAAAAACAGCCCCACAAAACAATATAATGCTGTCTCAATATATTTTTAACACCTTATCAAACTAAATTTTATAGGATTAGGCCTACTCATCACTTCAACAAACCTATATGCTTTATGCGCCCTGTCCCATCCCCCAGAGCAAATTAATAATTACAACTTCCTGTACTCTTGTGATTGTGGTATCTATACATATAATACGTGAAGCCGTTTTTTGTTAACGCAACTCCTCCCTTATTTGTGGACCAATTTCAACGTTTAAGGTGTCAAAAGATTTGTCTGAATATGTAGTTTTGCAATAAGGTTTTAAAATTCCTACTGTTGAAGGCGTGAGACCCTCTCAAAGGTCGGGTTTTCCCCATAAGAAATACATAGAACAAATTTAATAACAAAAAACAGCTGTTTAAAAAGAAACTCGCTAGCTTTTTGGGAGTAAATATTAAAGTTTGTAATATTCAGTTTAAGACCAAGTTAAACAGTTAATCAGTTTTGTTGGAAGAACAGAAAATTCCTCATGTTCAAAGATGAAATGTTGAAAACCGGAGGAGGAGACAATTAATACAGTAATTAACATATCTTATGCGTATAAGGAGAGTAGAAAAAGAGAGGCCTGGTCTAACAGATACCCATCCAGATACACATTCACTTTGGTGATATATTGCATGCTTGGTTGATATATTTGGTGATAATATTAGTCAGTTCTGCTTTGCAACTTACTTTGGAAGTGAAAAAATATACGAAGCACATAGTGTTGTCACGGTGGTAAAGTAAACTTGCCTAATGTCAGATCAAATGAATGCATGCAAGAAATATTTACTTCTGACACTGACAGATCGAGATATTTAAAAACATTTATTAGAAACTATAATAATGCCTTGACTATGATAAGTTCAAGTAGTAAGATTATACCAAATCTTGGCGGACCTTATGTTTTTATTGTAAACTTTTGTATTACTCGCTCTACTTCAATTGAGAAAAAAACGCAAATGGATTGTTTACTTCTAGGTTATGTTGCCAGTTCTTCGGGCTAACTTATATAAAGTTTTTTCACTGAATTTACCAACACAATCCAGACATTTCAAGTCAAAAATAAGAAGTTTCAAAAACTCATTTGCTATTGAACGTTTTAGTGGCAATATTAGACAAAACATAAGTGAAGGAATTAGTGTTTCTATATTCAACAATCGAGTAGTAACGGTCTATACGCTGTTCAAAAAGAGAAAATGAAAATTGCTCTCCAAATCTTATAGCTACAAGAGTTCTCCAACCTATTTCGACAAATGAATCCATACTTTCAAAAATTTGGGACAGGTATTAAGAGAAACTCCACTGAACAACATGAAAACATTCTGAAGCGGGGCATATACTGTGACTGATAGACAACACATTAATATACGTTAACCAACTTTCAATGGTGTTGCTGCTTTAGCCTATTCAAGCAGATTATGGCTGTCCAGAGAGTAACCTAGAGTTTGTGGGTAAAAAATGGAGCACATGAAACGGTTGATATCACCCCACTTATCTGGATTCTCTACGGAGAATTTTTTTTTATTCATGGGGATGTCTCAAATCGAAGAAATAAAATGACCCAACTTAAATAACTTAACACAGGTTATCAGTAAGGAAACAGTTTTCTTCAACTCTCAATGCTGGAAAAACTTTGTTGCAACATGCGGCTCATTTGAGCCGCACGGGTTCCCTAGTATTAAGTAAAAAGGGACAAGAAATTTGAGATAATAGTGTCAGTTGGTTTTTTAATACTTTACTGTTTTGTCTCAATCATTGCTTTTAATACATTTATATTTTTAATTGATTATTTTTTCAGGGTAATATGGAGAGGCAGTTAAGCTTAGAAGTTATGCCAATCATAATCATTGACCAAATCGCCAGTTATCTGAGTACAGAAGACATCATGGCTTGTTGCGCTACTAGCACCAAAATGAGGGACGTATTTAGCGATGATCTGATTTGGAGAAGATATTGTAACGTTGACCGCATTAACTATCTCAAAAGAAGTGCTTGTTGGGTTGAACCCGTTTTTGAGTGGGAAAATGACCGGTTAAGCAAGCTTTCACCAATAACTGAATGGAAAAGGAACTTCATGATGCAAGCCCACCTGTTCCAAAACTGGAGAAATGGCAGGTTTGAGAAAAGTGAATTGGAGTATGGACCTCCCAACGTCGTCTATAGCCAATCTAGGATTGAGTTCTATGAAAATGACTTTTTATTCCTCCACACATACCTTATTAACAACAATAAGCTGCTAGACGAAATTTGGGACGTCGTTGAAACACCCTTTTTACATTCAACGTTTTCATCTAACATTGATCAGTTTGACAATCTTGATTCGCTTGTTTTTTATAAAATAGCAAAAAACAAGCTAGTTGTCGGTGTTTATAACTTAATTTTAGTGTATGATATCACATTGGGATCTTTCTCTCGCATTCCATTGGTGAATGCATTCCTGTTTGAGAAGTCTGAAAAGGGTTCTAAAGATGTTATCACTCATGATGAAAACACTTTTTACAGGACAACTTACTTTGAATTGGTGTATCAAGTGGAGATGACTGTTTCTGGTAACTTATTTATAGGAGCTGTAACAAATTTCAAAGATTTGCCGTGCCCTGCATTTCATGTTTGGGATATTCAAAAGGGGCAAAAAATTGACGAAGTGAATGTTCCTGTCGGTAGCAATCTTGCTATTGACGGATTACAGTTCCTGTCATGCGATGATGAAAAGAATGTAGTAGTAAAACTTCGGGTTTTGCATGACCGGCATACATACCATTGTTATGGGTACGATCTTTCAAAAATGATGTTCACTTCGTTTTTAGTCAAACTTAACTACTGTGACTTTCAAGTCTTCAAAAGCAAATTTTTAATCGGTGCAGCTGCTGAAAGAATCTTCGTGTACAACTATGAAACATCAGAAAAACTACTGGTCAGAAAGTGTCCACAACAAATTCTAAAAAAGACGATAAATGTTGTTGGACAAATGTTGCTGTTTGGAACATTTGAAAATGTTGTACATGTCTTTGATCTCACAACTTTAGATATCATCAACAAAGTTAAGCTCGGATTCACATTATATAGTTTAAGAGCAATATGTGATAAATTTGTTGTCATCAACTCGGTAAATAGTGAAGTGTGGGAGATAGGCAGAACTGCCAGGAAACTATTCAAATTTCCTGTCAACGGATCGTTTGTTGCTGTGAATCAGCATTGTACAAAGTTAGCGATAGAAAAAGAAAACAAAATTGTAATCTTACATTTTTGGTGATTCAACTCTTCTTTGTGTACCAATGCAGACAAGGCTATTGATCTCTTAAGCAAATTTTGATTTGTAACCATCACTATTTACATAATCCGTGAAATCTTACCAGAATCTTATTGTGGCTCTTAAATAACTAGGCATATCTGTAATGTAGTTTTTAACATTTTAAATATACCTCAGATATGTTTTTTGATAAGCACTATTTTTTTTTCTAAATATTGTAAATAATAAAAAAGTTTCTATAGAATATTCAGATTAGAAACCTTTTGACTCAAGTTTAAAACTTGAAATACACAATTATGGTATAAAATACCCCTGCCGCAGCAAACTTACACACTAAGTGCATTTTTAATTACCTGATAAGGTTTTTACAATAAGTTATTATTATTATTGTTACCTATATTTTGATTATTTATCACCTAATTTCTTCAAATGGACACATACCTTAAAAACCTTCACATACCTTCATGGTCCCAAAAAAATCGGGGCCGGTGTTTTTTTAACCATTGCAAGTAATGTAACAATGCTTTGCAAATAAAGTAATATACTTAAAAATCTAATTTTTGAAGCAAACATATTTTTTCCCATTTAATACTAGAGTCCACATGGAGCTGGGCAAAAATTAAGTCTTTCTATGATTGTTGTACTTTTCACAAATCCTACACAGTGTTAGTGGTTTTATCTGATTTCCTTTGATTCCTGAGTGTTTCTTGGTGTTTCTCATATCTTGGTTGGATTAATTTTAATGCAAAAAAATCAAATCACATGTTTATTTTATAAATACAAGAGTCCTACAATATATTAGTTTAGGAAAAGTTGTTAGTATTGTATTAAAACGTTAGGTTCTCCTGAAATTTAAGTTTTTAAGTATTGGTGTTTTATATTATTTTTGAAAAATAGGATTTTAAAGAAAATTTAAATAATTTCCAATTTTGTCTTCTCCCAATTTCTGTTAATATATTCTCCAAAAATTGAAAATTTTACATTCTAAAACTGTACAAACCCATGTTTTTATTACCGGCACTTGCATAAAAGATTTATTATTATTATCTTCACTCAGATTATAATGAAGTAAACAGTTAACTCTGGCAGCTAAACCCTGCGGATATTAGAATAATATTGTGGTGAAGACAAAAAAGTTCTATCCAACAAGCAATTTAGGGTTTCTTTTGTATATTTAAAAATCGGTAAATTTTTAACAGTTGTTAAAGGGGAAATAGTTGGATTGCCACCAGCATATTAACACAGTAGATAATATTTTTATGTTTATTAGTATTTAAGAGATAGCAAATAAATGTGAGCCCATTTAATTAATTTATTACCCAAGGAAATAACATAAAATGACAACCAATGATGAATACAAACATATTTTTGAAATGTACTCAAACTCGTCCATACACTTATAATGCTTTGTTTTGATAAAATAATTATCTATATAATTTTTTTATTGCATTTTATGTACATCTTCGCAATTTATATTATTTTATACTTTAGATCATTGTTCAATCTTGTATCTTCTAATTATAACATATATTATATATTCATATTATAACATGTAAATATATAGGAATTTGTTTTAAAATTGTTTATCAGCCTATGTAGGCCTATACATATTTTGTACAAAGTAAGATCAACAATAATAATTGTGTAAAATTTGATGAATAAATAGTTATTTGTGTAACTAGTGGTGAAAGTAGCACTTTGCTGCTCACGGCGGCTCGTGCGGAATGATCTCGAGTGCAGCAAAGGCCTTTTTCACTCGTGTTACACATTATATTTTTCCTACAGTCACTATAAAACATATAAATAATTAGTCTTTCAAACACTATACAACACGTTTTTAGGTTCAGCTGGCAACACAAATAGGTGCCCTAGAGAAAGTAGTACCCGCGGTCTGTATCACTCCGCTATTTTTCCTCGGCAAGAAATGTGCTCCGCGTTTTGAGAATATAGTTCCGTCTGTTTTTGTAATTTGAAGTGGTTTCCGCGCCTAAACAAATGCTTTAAAGGTATTTTCTTGTTTATTAAGATCGTAGGAATGTTTTAAAAACGTTTAAATGAAAAGTCCAGAAAGTTCAGAAATACCTAAACTATAAACACGAAATGACAGGTTAAATCGTAGTTATAATAGTCAATCAGCTGCTCATAGTATTATTATCTTTAAGTGTTGCCAACCTATTTCCAAGCGTACACGGATTACGTGCATAATAGAACCACGCTGTTTTGTGTTCGTTTCGTTGGAATCCTGATGTGCGGCAAAGTATAAACCGTACGGCAAAGTATAAACCGTACGGCAAAGTATAAATATGCAGCAATTAGCAGCTTTCTGTACTAAAAACAGTACAAGGAAGCCAACTTTGTCGGGTGACTGTAGGAAAATATTTTTAGAAGTATTACATCTTTCTCAATTGAACACCTATATAAATACTGACCTTGTAGACACAACCTGTAGGACGACTACCGGATCATAATTGTATGTTTGTAAATCTCTGTTAAGGAGAGAGAATGAATAAAAGCTAGTGTTAGGAATTCCGGGTTTTCACTTAATGACTTTTACCACCCTTGACATGGTCTAGTGCTCTGGTGTCAACATGCTCAAAGCTTAAGGTGCTATGGAACATCACTTAGTGACTGGAATAATAGGATGTTAATTATTCTTGGAACATAATGTCTCATCACCCACATTTTTGTAAAGTTAAGGTTTAAGCGTGTTCTCCGACTTGAAAATATAAAAACAATCACTAAACGTCCAGAAAAATCGCTGACTGAAATCGTATTAAACCGTCCAACTGATATTTTTGTTCAATTATTTTGATGGAGTATGAGTAAAATTCCGTTGCATAAATTGGAAAAAAATATGTTTACATCAGTTTGTGATATGGATAAAGTTGGTCTCTGATACAGTTCAGGTTAGTTTAAGGTTTAAGTTGTATGGTAAAGAACCCTTAAAAGGAATTGTTTTGATGTATAATTGACGGCATTGCGGGTTTTAGAAATGATGCCCACAACTCTTCTCACTCATAAAGCTGGCGAAAAAACTCACAAAATACAAACCTAAGCTCCTATTTTAAGCAGAGCATTAATTCGATTTTATTTACTAATATATAAAACTAGCTGTTGTACCCGTGCTTTGCAACGGGAAGAGGACATAAAATATAAACGTTTTTAATCTTTATCTCTTGCATAATAGTTACACATCCGCCAACGGCGCCAACGCTTTTAGAAACAAAATTCAACTTTTATGGCCTTAATAGAAACGTTTAAGTTGTGACTTTTAAATCTGGTAAGTAGGTGGTGGATACCATCATTTTGGTTTTGATTAATTTTAAATCTTGTGTAGGCTGATATGAGAAAAACTGACCAAATCTTTGAGTAAAACTTTGACATACATGATTTAATTACCAGATTTACCTTCATCTCCCTTAATTACACATCTTTTAATTTATTATTGACATTTTAAATTTCAATTTTGAAGTTGCAAAAATACTAATTATTAAATTTAAATATCTTTATATTAAACTCTTCTTTATATTAAATCACAAATCCTTTCATCTTCAGTTTTTTCACTCACAATAAATCATTAGCTAAACTAAGTCAGCTGTTATAAACTTTAGAAATATTGCTGTGCCTTATCAATACAGTCTTTTGAAATATTAAAGAAACATAGAAAAAATATATCTATAGGTACTATAAAAAATTTCAAACAAATAATTTAGCATTAAAGACAGCAGACAAAACTAATATGATTATCAAAGCATCAAGGACTAAAAAATATAATAGCAAATACAGTATATGTTTAATTGCATCTCTGATTCTACTATACAAAAATATCAACAAACAACAAACCAGTTCTTTTAATCAGTTCCATCGTCCCTTACCTTAACATTTTCACACTTACCATTAAGAAAACATAGTAACAGATATTTCATTGATTTTAGAAACAAAAGAGCACTGTGTACTGCTTAGTTTTATGATATTGTCCTTGGTTTAATTTAATCAGTGGTGTGGCAAAACAAAACACAAATAATAAATGTATCAAATAAAGTAAATGTGAACTGAAAGCTATGTTAAGATAAAATAAGAGTATTTTGTATTACCATTTGATAATTAAATATAGTTACACATATTCAACATATTTTAGAAAACAAAAATCAACGACAATAGTTATTGATGATATTCTTTAGTTTAATTTAAGCATAGGTTTAGCAAAACACAATAACTTAATTTACCTAAATATACATATAAAACACAATGTGATGTGCAAGTTAAGTTATGTTAAGTTAATCTAACATGTGAAGCAGTTAGAATTTATTTAAAGTAGCCTCCAAATTCATACAAAACATCTATACATTGTAATTTTCATACTGTTTCCATGAAAACATATCAATAACATTATTTTCACTTAAGATTATTAACTTAAGACGCTTTAAAATATCCAAAGCAGAGCCGGAGTTGATACAGCAACGGTTATAAAATCTTTTTTTTTTATATAATCATTGACATAGTTTTAGAATAAATAATCCATCATAAAAGGTTATATTAAAATAAACCTACTTCATATTTATGGAAAATATTATATTTAATTTCTTTGTATCAGCTGTCTGAAATTGTGAAATATACAGTTTAGCAGTTCTTCTTGTTTATATTTAAATGTCAAAGCAAATGTAAACAAACACTGTTAGTTTTCTCATCACAGCCATGGAGACCAATCAACAATATTTACTTTTAAAATGTTCACCTCAGAACTTTTAAAGCCAAAGGGGCAAAGCCTACGGTAAGTATCGAAATGTGAATAGTCCTATAATGGTCCTTGGTATGGTAGCTATATTTTTGTAAAATTTAAGCCCAGTTGGTTCAGTAGTTTTTTCACCTATTAGTAATACACATACAGACAGACACCATTAGATTTTTATATAATAGTATAGATTGATGAATAATGCAAAATTGCATGTTTTACTCTCATCATTCTGTTAAAGTGGTGCAATTTTTTTCTACACTTGTTGCAATTTATCAATTTAATATATTACTAGGGAACCCGTGCGGCTCAATGAGCCGCCTAGTATGAAACATAACGCCGAGGAAAACCTTATGCTTAAATTCTAGTAACTTTAGTTACATCTTAGAGTTATTTGAAAACTTGTTAGAAACTAATTTTAAATATCTCTAATGGCGTCACCAAGGTTAACCTACATCATTTCTGCTCTCGATTTTAACTGATTACTTCTAATGAATGCTAAACGATCTGCCTCAATTCGAGTTAATATGTTGCAACAAAGTTTTTCCAGCATTGAGAATTGAAGAACACTGTTACCGTACTGATACCCTTTCTTAAGTAATTAAAGTAAAGTTGGACCATTTTATTCCTTTGATTTGATACATCCCCCGATCAAACGAATTTTCTCCGTAGAGTAACCTGAAATGTGGGGTGATGTCAACCATTTTCATGTGCTCCATTTTTTACCCACAAACTCGGGGTTACCAACTGGACAGCCATAACCTGCTTTGAATAGGCTAAAGCAGCTACACCATTGAATGTTGGTTAACGTAATTTTAACAAAATGTTTTGAAATATCTCGATCTGTCAGTGTCTGAAGTAAACATTTCTTGCATGCATTTATTTGATCTGACATTTAGGCAAGTTTACTTTCCTACCGTGACAACACTATGAGCTTCGTATATTTTTTCACTTCCAAAGTAAGTTGCATAGCAGAACTGGCAAATATTATTCATCTCACAAAGTGAATGTGTATCTGGATGGGTATCTGTTAGACCAGGTCTCTCTTTTTCTACTCTCCCCATACGCACAAAATATCTCATTATTAATTGTGTCCTAATACCGTGTTCAATATTTCTTCTTTGAACTTGAGGCATTTTCTGTTCTTCCATCAAAACTGATTTGAACTGTTTAACTTGGTCTTAACCTACTTATTACAATTTCAATATTTACTCCCAAAAAGCTACAGCTTCTTATAAACAGCTGTTTTTTTTTGGTTTTAAATTTGTTCTATGTATTTCTTATGGGGAAAACCCGACCTTTGAGTGGGCCTCACGCTCTTAAGGGCAGGAATTTTAGAATTATAAAACCTTATTGCAAAACTTCATATTGAGACGAATCTTTTGACACCTCAAACGTTGAAATTGGTCAACAAATAAGGGAGGAGTTGCGTTAACAAAAAACGGATTCACATATTATATATATAGATTTATCAATTCAATTTAATAGATTATATTTATAAATTTATCAAATCAATTTAGAATACTCTTTTAACTGAATTGCTGAAATTTGTGTAAATAATAACACTAATGAACAAATCAAATGTACATTTACAAAACATTTGTATTATAATATAAATTTTATACACTACATTTATTTATCAAATAATGTAAATGTCTTAGCAGTAAATGCCCGCTTGACTTCATCCAGTCACATCGGAACTAATTTCCCTCAGAAACAGCTGTTCTTCCGCCACATTTCCTCCGACCTCTTAACAGAAAGGTGGTAGAGTTGTAAGAATCAGGTGTGGCATAAAAAAAGGCAGTACAAAAATAAGCAATACAAAAAGGGTTGTACATGACTGTTATTAAACACAGTTTGTGTTGTTTCTTTGCTACTTGATCAAATAAATATCTGTTTTCTAGTTGTCAAATAAAACCTAAAATTTCTTGTGACTGTTTCGTTACTCCCTTCCTACAGAAGCCCTAAAAAAAATTAATAAAAAAAATTACAGCTCCTTATGAAACGTTTATATGTATGTAGAACTAGCTGTTACCCACGGACTTCACCCCGTTTGATTTCATAAATATATTAATAAAATTATTGATTAGTTAAGTTAAGCTAAAATAAACAAGATGTAATACAATAATAAAATCAAATAATAACACCTAATTTTAATAAGGTAATAAATTGAAAGAATCTATATGTATAAAAGCCAATGTATGTTTGTTAGTTAGTTTGTGTGTTTGTCCTTTATGGACTCCGAAACCGCTCGACAGATTGTAATGAAACATTCAGTTATTATTCAAGGATGGTTTGTGTGAAGTTTGGTGCAGATCCGTCAAAAGGGCTCCGCCCCAGTGGCCCAGTTTCCCATGTTAACCTTATGAGTACTCGAAATTAAAGAAGCTGGTTCAATTTGATTCTGTGATGTTCAATAGCATTAAAAAGTTAATAAGTTTTTCCAACAGGGTGCAGCACTATTATTTTTTTAAATTCATGACAACAGCTAATTTGCAACCAAAAGGTGAGTAAGCGTAGCGAACGAACTTCAACCTGGAGCACAGAAAATGTACTACTATAACCTATACATACTACTATAACTATAGGTTATAGCGGTATGTTTTCTGTGCCTGGGGGCGAGTTAGCGTAACGAACAAGCTAACCTGAAGGCAAGTGAGCGCAGCGAACGAGCTCCAACCTGAAAGGTGAGTAAGCATAGCGAACGAACTTCAACCAGGACGTGATTGAGCTATGCGAACGAGCTCATCTTGAAAATGAACGAGCATTTGCCATAAAACCACATTAGGACAGGACGACGTCTGTCGGGCCAGCTAGTAACATATAAATGTCAAATAAGTGCTGACGTATTTTTTTAACATTTAGGTATTGTCACGATTGTGACAGAAATTATATTTTATTTTCATAGATTATAAGGTAATAGAATTGAATGTTAGTACAAATCCTGGAAAACTAGAAGAAACCGGTTTTCTTAGTTCAAGTCGATACCAGCATTGATA